GCCATCCATCACAAGATATACTCTTGATGACAATATATATCCTAGCAATGAAAATGAAGACACACAGTTGCTAGATGATGACTCGAAGATTCCATTATCTGATACCAAAAATTTTAGTCGCACTATCGCTAAAGAAGAAATATCATTCTCCGATGATGATTTACGATCATTCCTAGAAGGTCGCGCGAATTTATCACCGAGTCAACAAGCACAGATTGAAGCTTATTTAAATAAACAATCATCATCCAACCAAGCTATATTTTCAAGATATTCAACGACTACAAAAGTACCAGCCACAAAATATACACTTGGTGTCAAGATATATTATGACCATCAAACTGAAAATACTCAGTCGCAAAGTTATATAACTGAGATACCATTATCTGATTGGAAAGATTTCAATCGCACAATAGATAGAAAAGAAATATTATTTTCGGACGATGATTTACGATCTTTCCTTGAAGGTCGAGCGAATTTGTCAAAGATTCAAAAAGCACAGATTGAAGTTTATTTAAGTAAACAATCATCATCCAATCAAAGTATATTTTCGAGATATTCAACGAGCACAAAACTACCCGCCACAAACTATACTCATCATGGTAACGTATATCCTGACTCTGAAAATGAAGACATACAGTTGTCAGATTATGATTCGAAAGATTTGAATCGCAGTATAGACAAAGAAGAAATATTGTTCTTCGATGATGATTTACGATTGTTCCTAGAAGGTCGGGCGAATTTATCAGAAAATCAAAAAACGAAGATTCAAGTTTATTTAAATAGACAATTATCATCCAACCAAGGTATATTTTCAAAATATTCAACAAGCACGAAAATACCAGTCAGAAGATATACACCTGATGACAACTTATTTTTTAGCAATGGGGCCGAAAAGACGTACTCGCATGGTTATGGAACTAAGTCACCAATTTTTAATTCGGAAAACATTAATACATTTGTCGATTCAGACGAAATCTTCGTTTCTGATGATGATTTGCAATTGTATTTACAAGGACGAAGTAATCTCTCACAGGCTCAAGAAGCACAAATTCAGGCGTTCTTAGCTAAAAAGACGTCTTCGAAGAAGACCATATTTTCAAAATATTCTACACGTAAAAGTATGCCAATGGAAACACTGACACCTAACGATATATCAGAAGTTTATTCTGAAGCAGAAACAAGTTTATCACTTAGTAAACAAGTTCAATCAACAGATTTTCAGCCATTTTCAAAATATTTTAATAGTACGATTAGTAATATAGTATCATCAGAATTTGCTTTACAAAAATTAGCTTCTACTATACCAATAACAACTAGAAGAAAAACAAGAATGCGACGACCTGGACAATCGATTGGTGATAGTAGTATTGATTTTGATGACAGTACCGAACAACTTTCTAATATCTATACTGATTCAAATGATGATAAGATTCTATCGATTGATACACTTAATAAATATTCTCAGTTGTCAACATCAAAATCTTTTATCTCACCACTACCGACAGGTGCTTCTGTTAAGTCAACGGAACAACCATCTCATTTAGGAACATCAATGAGTACTTCGTTAAAAGACGTTCTAGAAGCACTTGCATTAGATACAACAAAATCAGATTTTATGACCAATGAAAAATCTCGAACTGATAATCGAATTTATCAACTATCAACAGCATCGTCATTAGATCAACTAATTCAATACACTTCTGATGTAAATCTTATATCATCCACATTATCTGTAAATGATTCATCAAATTTGAAAAACTACTCTCTAGTAAGTCAATTCGATCCAATTCTCATGAATAAAAATGCTACTATACATTCCAATAATAATAATGAAAAAGCGACTATTCATGACGACGACGATAGAATAAATAGTTCCCTTTTCCCAACGAAATTTAAATTAACAATGGATCCGAAATTTTCACAAACTACTCCAGGCCAATTAATATCAACCAATGTTCAGAGTATCTCATCAGATAAAACTTCTAAATCTTCTGCAGATATCAATACCGATCAAACTTCGTCAGTCTTAGTAGTAATCTCAGCTGATAATATTACGCATATGGATTCACTACCACTAGTGACTCGTCGATCGGATACACAAACCACTGTTAACCAAACTGAAATATCTTCTTCAAAGATTAATGATACCATAATTCCTTCAATGCTTCAGAATCTTACCTTTTTACAAAACCAATCTGATATATATGATACATCAAAACCAATTGATATTATGAGAGATAGTCTTAATGATGAATCTATTAATATTAAACAAACTTCAACATTACCAACGTTAATCATAAACGATACATTGATTTTAACTACAACATCTGGTTATATTACTCAAACTATAAAAGATGAAATTAAGTATAAAAATTCTTCGGGAATGTCAGTAGATGTCAATATTACCTCTATCTTTCGCACATCATCACCGCTTATTATGTCTAATACAACCCTGCTTTCTTCACGTCGTTCACCTTTATCATCACCGTTGCACTATTCACATCGATATTCAAGCACCAGGTCACCAAAATTTACTTCATTGTCATCACCAAAACTCTTTTCAGACACCACTACCACAATAACAACAACAACTACAACAACGATAACAACTACAACAACAACAACTACAACTACAACAACTACAACTACAACAACTACAACTACAACAACTACAACTACAACAACTACAACTACAACAACTACAACTACAACAACTACAGCTACAACAACAACTACAACAACAATAACAACAACAACAACAACAACGATAACAACTACAACAACAACAACTACAACAACTACAACAACTACAACAACAACTACAACGACAATAACAACTACAACAACAACAACTACTACAACAACAATCACCACACCAACAACAATGCTATTGTCAACAGAAATAACAACAATGCCTTCATATTCGACCATTTTTTCATCGTCTACTAGCACATTACAATCGTCATATCAGTTTTCATCAATACAAACAACTAATGAAGTTCGAACATCACATATAAAACAATCGACATTAATTAGTACTCTTGCTGATATGTCTTCTTTGCCTCCGATAACAACGTATCAACCGCATTTGACATCAACTATTCCTTTCACATCATACCTTACTACTAATGAACAATTGTTAACAACAATATTTGATTCATATACATCTAAATTTCCCAAAACCTACATCGAATCATCTTCATTATCATATGCAAAATCTACTGAATCATTCACTACTAATTATCAATTGATAACAAGTACTCTAGTTCCTAGTACTAATCTTGACTCTTCTCCAACAATAACATCAGATAAAACTTCGATGCGTTCTACTTTACCTACTACGTCTGAAGAAACTCTTTCACTGTCTAATTATCAATTATTTGAAACTACTGAGACGCCATATTTATCATCGCTAAGTACTGATCGATATCAAGAAGAATTTACTCCATTGAAATTTGCATCGACAATTTTTCCTCACATTGATAAATCAAAGGTTTTCTCGACACTTGAACATTCTACTATACGAACAAGTTATCTATCAACAACAAGTATAACTGTAACGACGACTACGTCAACCACCACTACCACAACAACAACAAAAAATCGATATAAAACTCGAAAATCGAAGAGAACTGGTTGGACAACACAAACATTATCAACTATTGCTTCTTTTCCAACCGCTACGGTTATACCTTCATATCAAACAACCCTTAAATCTGGTATGTTATTGATTTTCTCTTTAAGAATTCTCTCAAAAAATATCAGTTTTTGTCAGAACTATTAAAATTAACATAAATGCATGATAGGATAGCCTGAAGCCTGTTCTCACATAATTGGCATGATCCTTTTATTTAGCACCTTGAGGTCTTCTAAAATTTTTGAAAGCTTGTTTGGTTATACATCTGAGAGTTTCTGAAGGAGCCTCATTATAGCCAATTGCTTTATTTTGTTTGAAAGACCATGTCAAGATGTAGGGCATGACAGAGCTCATTATTTGAATTAATTTTTGTTACTATTATATAAAAGAGTACTTTTACAATAAGAGCACCGTTTTATGAGATATTAATCTTTTCTTCTCCTTGAAAAGAAAGAAGGCTTCTGCCATACCCAGCATCCTAACATACTCTTTCGAACAAAGAAATAATCAAGTATATAGAATAAAGGTCCACGAAGCATTGTGGACTACCAAATGAGCTATTTTTGACTCTTGGTTGTTGAATATCTACCGAAAACGTTATGGTATAGGACTAACCATTTCAGTATAATCTCTCCACTACAGGTCCGATATCTTCTGAAAATTTTATGCAGTTTGATTATATTTGACCCAAGATCAGTTTTTGGAAGTTTGAGACAAGTTTGAAATAGCATTTCATTATTTTCTATTTTTTAGATTATGAATTGCCAACATCTACAAAAATGACAACTTGGCCTTCTGAATTGTATTCTCCTGAACAACAAGACACAGTTCTTATAGAACCACGATTAATTAAAAATGATTCTAATAGACTTATATCTAATGATTTACTTAATCAAATATTTAATAATATGTCGACATCAGGAAATTCTTCAACAGAAAAATATATTTATTTTAATTTAAATGATTATCCACCATCATCATGGAACTTGTCATTAAATTCTAACGAAAATATTTTTCTTGATGTTGTATTCCCATCATCATCTACTTCAACAAATTTAACATTTTCAAATATTGAAGCAAATCGTTTATCAACAAATATAATTGGTATACCAATTAATTTTCAAGTTGATCGTGTACAAACAAAACAATTTTCATTAACAATGAATGCAACAGATAATGATTTAAATGTAAATCGTACAATACCATATTTATCTGATGTTATTATTGGTCATGTTAAAAGTGAACAATTTGAATTAAATTTAACTAAAACAGATAATATGCATGTACGGGTAACACAAGTTGATTCAGCAACAGCTGAACTTTATCTTGATAGTAATTTTTGTACAAATGAAAGTAGTTTAGAAATTAATTTAAATCTTTCACAAAACGGTAAAAAAAAAAGATTTTTTTTAAAATTCTTTTATCTTGTTCTTTTTTTATTTTTCTTAATTTCATTTATATGTTTTATTTATTATTTTAAAGGAACAATTCGTTATGGTAATCGACAACCAATACATATTGGACCAGTTTTTACTCGAGTACATATGCTTAAACACTCATGTGATCGTCAACAACCATTAACATTATTTTTTGATATATGTGAACGATCAAATCCATGTGTAAATGATGGTATATGTCAAGCTGTTATGCCAGATTATAATGATAATTCAAATACGATCACAGAAATTGGACATGTTGGTTATAAATGTCAATGTCCATTACATACATCAGGTGAACATTGTCAATTTTTACAATATCCATTAGGTTATTGTTTAAATAATGGAACATTATTTCAAATGAATAATAGATATAATAATACAATTGAAAAATGTATCTGTCCAATAGGTTTTCGTGGTGATCATTGTGAAGAAAATATTGATAATTGTATTGGTATAACATGTTTTGATCATGGCATATGTGAAGATGGTATTGATCAATATAAATGTTCATGTTTTGATGGTTATTTTGGTTTTAATTGTGAACATAAACATGTACAAATTGTTTTATTACAAGCAGCAAGTCGATCATTTGGTGTTGTTGCAATTTTATTGATTGCTGCTATAGCTGGTCTTGTTGTTGCTAGTGATATTCATACATATTTAACAAGAAAACGTCAAACATCTAATTTACCGAAAAAAATCTCACGTGTACAATCAGAATTATTTGAAAATTCAGTACTTTTACTTGGATTTAGTGATGCACCTATTGAAATGAGTGATTTATCAACTGTTCGAAAATGGAAAAAACCGGTAATATTGAAACAACGTCAAACACATAGAACAACAAGAAATAGAAAATCAACAGGTTATCAACAACTTTCAAGACGAAAACCATTCACCACCATTTCAAAATTCTCATCTCGACGTTATGCAGCATCAAGTCAACTTGATCAAACAATTATTTAAAAACTTTTGTTTTGTTTTGTTGGCTTTTATTTTCTTTTGCTTGTGTTTCATATATATATTTGATAATAATAATTAGAGATACTATTTTCATTTGTTCTAAATTAAGGTACTGACATTTCGAAATTTGAGCAGTTTTTTTTTTGTCTTGATTGAATGGAGCTTGTCGAGTGACCTATGAAAATGTTGTTTTCGAGGTGTCCACATGATATTTTTTGCAGCGAAACTGAGGAAAATTAGGTTTAAAAATATCAGGAAAGCCTATAAAAATTGAAACACACCAAACATATCAATTCTTTGTAGCCTTCATATTTATTCGATTTTTTTTATTTTGATTTCACTTGTCACGGGGCTAGAAAAAAATTAATAGAGGTTTTTTTTTTTGAAAAGTATTGTTCAATAGTTGAGGAAATCGATTTTTTCTCTATTCGAAAATACAAGTGAATAGGAACGTATTGGTAAAATAAACTCTGAGCACCGTGGTACCAAGACATATACTAGTCAATAGAGCTTGACATTTGAAGCCATGTTAACTCATCTGAAGTCAGTCTGAGCCAAAATCTCAACAAACAAAGTGTTTGAAAAATGAAGTCAAATGTAACTCTTCTAGATATATTGAAATGACTAGAGCCATCTGACATTTACCACAAATTCATCTGAAGTGATTTTTTCGAAGATTTATCTGTTCAAGCGTTTGGCTCAGAACAGACCATGCTAAAATTTTTTTTGCATGTTATCTTCCTAATATTTTTCCTAGTGCATGGGTATAGAATTACATTTTTTTTGTTTCTCATCATACCAAGTATCAATCCATATGCATGAATATTGATTAATGTTGTGTATTCTATTCTGTAGAATCATTGCGTAGAAATTCTTTACCGATGTATAATTCATTATAGACTTGACCATCGTAACAGTGCAAATAGTAGAAACTCCAATGATAATTTTTTTGTTAGTACTGTCTAAACTTTTGTGTGTCAGGGAAAAAGTAATATTTATCCGAGTGTACAATGCATTATTGAAAATATTTTTCTTCATATTTAAATCTATTTTTCATCCAAGCCAACTTTCCCATTTATAGGAATAAATGAGAATATCTTCTCTTTGTAAAATCTCATTCTCTTCCTATTAGTTAATATTCTATTTTGCATCTACACTTAAATAGTATTATTCATCACTCGCAAAATGATTGCTCGAACATAACCAAAAGCTCGGTAGGTTTATTGAATAAGTTTTGAACAAACTATCCCTTGGTATCAAAACTTACACATATTTATTTTTAAAAAATTCACATGACAAGATGATCTAATTCTTAAATGATCCAACTGTCTTTACTGCATCGGTCAGATGCTATCTGAATTCGACAACAATTGTTATGAAACGAAGACTGTCCTAACATGCAAAACAACAACACGTTATATTGTGAAAATTAACACGATAAAACGAAGAAAAGACAGCATCATGTGACTCAACACTTATTTCCTACTTATATGATGAGGAAAATATTGTTACTTTTTTATATGATCTCTTTACGATGTCATAAATCAGTCATTTATTTTTTTGTAAGAATAAATTGAATGATAATGAAAACAAAAAATGTTTTATTATTCTTATTTTATTAACATCAATCTTATGTAGGATTAGTATATAACAATATACTTTAAAATTTTTGAATCTTCAAACTTTGTAATTGTATGTTACAAATCATTTAGTATGTTTTTATTTAAATAGTTTGTTCTAATGCATTCAATATCATAGATTTCTATTGAATGATTAACAAAGATTTTGATCGATGTATTTTTATACATTATTTTGAATTAATTATTCGATCAAATGATTGTTCAACTGACAAAAATGACAAGTATTAAAATATAAAAAAGAAATATAAAAATAACGTGACGAAGGATTTGTCAACAGCTTGTTAAAAGTGTTATTATTGAAATGATTTAATCATAATGTGTGATGCTATCAAACAATAGTTGCAGTGATTTGTAAATGTTGTTAGAAACAATGTACAATTTTCATAATGCCACAATCTACCTTGATATTAATCTGATGTTAGAATTAATTACAAATACGTGAATATGTTAATTTTATTAAATTATACGTGTGTTTCAATTTTTTTAATAATGATTATGTTGATATTAATGCAAGAATCAATCATGTCAAAAAGATAATACATGAAGATTATGTAAACTCATTTATTTAAAGCTATGATTTATTTCTCTATAATGAACAAAGAACAAGCAAAATGTTTTTAATGAATCAAAATTCAAAACACATTATCAATGATGATGTCATTTATTTGATTTCTCAATCAAATGGAAACATATGTTTTTTTTTGTTTTATTATATCTGAATGTCTAAGCTGATTTCATACATACATTCAATCTTAATAGTGTCTTTCTTCAAGCACAGAAAATTATCGGTTTATCATAAGTATAGTTCTGCATATGTTCAATAATAAAAGAAAAGAAGAAAAATGTTAAAATGCTTCTATTTTCACTCATTTATCATATTGATTGAACACATAATGGCTTTGTTCGCGTGCGTACACATTTACTCATAATTCATTGTTCAGACAACCAATCGGCTACACTCGATTTCGCTTTCTACTAATGATCAATAGTTATATGTTCTTCGGTACATTACTGTGAATAAAACAAAAAAGACAGAAAAAAAACGAATGATAGTTATTCAACTGACAGCAAGAAAAAGAAAACAGCATACAAATGCAAAAAAAAACAAATAAACTCGCTTATAATATATATATATATATTCAATATTTACAAGCAACGACTTATTTCTTGAGTAGTAACACAATTTTGACATTGAACATAACAGCACCATTGAAAACGACAATTACATTTATCATGTACAGTCACTATTTGAGATTGATAACCACGATTACAGCAAAGTAAATCACATCCGTCAATTGCGCGAGAACTTCGATTACAAGTACGTCCTACAGTACCAAATGAACCTAATGATAAATTTTTTTCACAATAATTTGGACTTGATTTAAAATAAATTAAACCATTTTTATATGCTGTTGATATTGGTTGTTTATCAATATGAAATGGAAGGTTACGTGGTATAAAACGTAGTTTTTTATCAAATAAACTTCGTTGTAAACGTACTTCAATTGCATCATCATAATATTCTTTAAGTTGTTTAGCTATTTGTGTAAATGAATGAAGTGAACGCCAACATATTTTAAATTCACAAGAACCTGATACACCATGACATTTGCATTGTCGATCAACAGAATCAAGAATTGTCTTTAAAAAAAAACAAATATATAATAAAATCAAAGTGTATATTAAAAAGAGAAAGAACAAAATTCTTTACTCGAATTCCAACTTGATTATTATGAACATTTATTAAACTTGTTCGATTTTTTGTTATACGTTCTCGAAGATTAACAAATTTTTTAGCTAATTGTGTACCAAAAAAAACATTATCTGAACATCCTGTCCATCGTATAGAATTATTTAAATTTTTATCATCTATTGACATATCACATCCACATGAACTAAGTCGTCCTGTACTACATGCTTTTGTTATAGCATAAGCAATACCAGCTGATGTTAATGCATGAATATATGCTGATTCTTTTGTTCCTATTTTATATTTAAAATTAATATGAATTCTTTTTTTGTATGAAAAAAAAAATTTTAAAACCTGAATCAAGAATATTTCCAATTAATTGATTATCTTTAAATAAACTACAATTCCAATGACGATTTTTAAATTGTGTTTTACATTCTTCTAATGCTAAATTTGTACCAAAACGTATAAATGGCATAAGTGCTTCATTTCTTTGACAAAAACGTATTTGTCTATAACTAAGACCATATTTAACATGGCAAAGACCTTGTGTAGCAAATGATATATCAGAGACTTGAATAATTGATCTAAACAAAAAAAAAAAAGAAAATAGAAATTCTTCTTCTCTCTTTTTTTTTCTTTAATTCACATCTGTTCAATTTTATGACATATTTGTCCAAGTTTTAATTTTATAGATCAATAAACATTTATTTTTCAAATGTAAATAAAACAAAAAAAAGATATATTTGAAATGATAACCACATGCTGTTTATATATTTGTTTTACCCACATATGGAGAGATCATTGATCTTTAGTTTTATTTTTTTTTTATTTTTTCTTGTCAATGAACGAAATCAAATGACTTTTGAACGTGCTTAAATGTTTCCTATGCTTCTTAAAATGTATGCATATAAGAAGCAAAGAAATATCAAATAATGAATTATATGTGTTTGTCAATGACTTTTTATTCGTTACGTTCATTACGTCATTTTATGATGATCATCATGACTTCTCATTTATATTCTCGCAAGACAAATTAAATGAAGTAGAAGGTCTTTTCTTTTTCTTACAAAAAAAAAGAAAGAGTTAATGAGCCGTATCTCATCTATATCTTGACATGGATTAAAAAAATATGATATAGGATATATTAATAATATCAGAGGTATCTCGAGGTCATCAAACTGGGAGTACGAAAGATGCACATGAAATGAAAGATAAGAGTTAGAATACAAAATGGATCTTGTCAAACTCACTGCACCCACATCAACATCCCTATTCTCATAGCCCATCGTGCTTATCTTTTCGAGATTTCCATCAAGATTAGGGGTGATCCTTATTGCTAGATCGATAAGTAAAAGTTTCTCTGGAAATTTTTCATTAAATAGGACATCTTCCACTTACGAATTATACTTTTAAAACTTTACTTACAGCCATTGTTGACTTGAATTGATTAAAATAAAAAGAAATAAAAATGATATTTTCATTGCTTATAGATTGAAATACAATCGATCGTATGAATATGTCAATGTGAGAACATAGCTTTGAATGATTTATATATATTAATCAATATAATATATTGTTGTAAATCTTCTCATTGACTTGATAAGATCTGATTTGAGGATAAGAATAGGAAAAAAAAATACAACAAGTGTTGATGATTCTTCTCTCTATGT